CCCCCTGGTATCCCAGGATAAACAAAAAAAACCACACAAAAAAGCAAAAAACAACACAGCTGACCCAAATGCCTACGGAAATAGCCAAGTCTTCAATGCTTTGCAAAAAGCTAACAGGGTTGGAGCCATCCAAATCTCCAGGGGATGCTCTTCCACAAGGCCTCCCGTTGTGAATAAATCCCAAACTGGCCCACCACCAAGGTCCCCCATGAGGTTTTCTAGCAGCAGCCATACATCCAGGAGAACCCCAAGATGCAGACCTGCTCCTTCAGAGGATGTGTCTTCTCCTATAACCAGAGGAGGCAGAGACCCAGATGCTCTTTACAGAAGCAGCAACTCCATCTCATTAGGGTTCAACTTCAGTTTTTTTTTTTTTTTTTGGTCCTATCCAGGCCCCCACAGCATCCAGGAATTGGGTCAAGACTTCACAGCATTTGTGGCCTGGCTCAGGGTGATGAGGTTTAACCAGGGAGCATCGGCATGTTGATGATAGCTCACAACCTTCTCCGGTGGGCTTATGTTGATATTAAAAAGTGAGATGGGGAGGGGGGAATCAACCCCTGAGGACTCCTCACTAGAGACCACGCAACAGGCCAACCTCTCCTCCCATACCACCACCATCGGGAACCCCCTGCTTAGGTAGAGAGTGGAACCGCTCTCGAACACTGCCTCCAATCCCTACCCCTCACAGCTGAACAGCTATCAAATGTTGCAGAGAAAACCGAACACACCCCCCCCGTCTGAGCGCTGAGTAAATTCATCCACCAGAATGACCAATGTCATTTCAGCCCCATGCCTGGCCTTGAACCCCGGCTGAAAAGGGTCCGGACACTTCTTGGGTGGCATAACACCAGAAGAGGAAGAGGTAGTTCACAGACTGTCAAGATTGAAGAGATCGTTAGGTAAACAACCAGCTGCAAACTTCTGCATGGGGAAAGATCCACTTCCTTCCATGCTGGTTCACTGGAAGGCTGTTCAGCAGAGGATCAGAATCACCCTAAGACACACAGTCATTTATTGGTTCTACACTGAAAGCTTTCAGTCCTTGGAGTTCTTGTAACACCATCCCACCCATCTCAAGTTTCACTAAGGAGAGCTCTGTGAGAATTGCCTTTGGAAAAGAATTTTTGGTTCAGGCACCTGCTCAAAAGCCTGACCCCGCTGGCTCAACAACCTTCCCTGGAAAGCAGAATTCGGAGGCAAGGGAACAATTTGCACACTCTCCAATTAAATAGGCTGGTCAGTCTATATACATATGAACCCTGTATGAAAAAAAGTCTTGTCAAATCCTGTAGCTGAGCTGTGAAAATCCACAAAAGGACAGTTTAGGGTCAAGCCTCGGCTCGCTGTCTTCCCAACTGCCAATCAGCCTGCTGCCATGAAGTAGCATCATCTAAGATCTGTGCATCGCCAGCTTTAAGGTTGACCAGTTAGGACAGACAGAATTTCCCTGTAGGCAGAGTGTGCTGATGCTGCTGGGAAGGGTGCTGACCAGCAGAGGAAGACGCTTTATGGAGCCTGCATGGCTGGAACCCAGAGCTAAATCTTCCCCAGGGTTCCTTGCAGGACATCAGTTGTGGTCCATCAAGCAGATCACTTTTGATAAGCTCTTTGCAAACAAGCTGCAGAGCCTGAGTGCAGCTGGCCCAACATGGTGCTGACAGGCTTTGTCTTGATTCCACAAGCTCGGCTCAACTTGGAGCCCATTTTCCTTTTCTGGGAAGAGGGTTATGTTATCAAGACCAGGTTATGTCTTTGGGAACCAGAGACATTCTTAGATGGCCCCATTAGGATTGATATTCTGCTCTTTCCGTGGTGTTTGTATATTTTAATTTTTTTACATTTTCGATGTTTCCATTTTAATAATCATTTTATCTTATTATTGTTCCTACCCATTTATTTTAATTCATTGTTGTACGCCACCCAGAATCACTTTGTGTGAGATGGGGGGGGTGAGATGTATAAATGTGACATATCAACAAATAAATAAAAGAGGGTTTAAAGTCAGCAGGGGGTGCAGGGGGCTGAGGTCAGCCTTAAGAAGAGGCTGCCTATCTGAAGAGGGAGAACTGGCCATTTCTACATGGTACCTAAAATGCCTGTTGTTTGCAACGTGAGCCTGCTTCATACCACCCACCGGAATGCAACAGGGCTTTCTTCATTCCTCCCCAATTGACAGTGAAGATCCCAAGCATGCTTTGTAGACTGAAACAGAGTAAAGACTCCATCAAATTAATCTCAACTCTTGGGGACTCGGTGGATGAGTCCATGTCATTTTCTTGGCAAAATGGTTTCCCGCTGCTGCTGCCCCCTTAGATGCTTCTCTGACTCCCCAGTTTAGCCTAACAGCCCTGGGATCCCCCACAGGTCTTCCACCCAAGGACTAATTTTCAGGTCTGACCCTGCTTTACTCCCTGGTCTAGGCAACAAGGCCAGCCAAGTGCTAGAACTGTATTTAAGAAAATGCATGTTGAATTAATCCACATCCAACCTCCATCATTCTGCACCGTGCAATTGGGACGAAGAGGCCTGAATTCAGTGTGAATTTAGCCAGGTGCGTCTAGATCAGCGGTTCCCAATTTAACCCCATTTTGCTTCTGAAATCAGCCAAAGTTGGTCAGCTGTTGTCACCTTCTAAGGCTGGGGTTGAAATGACATCTGGCAGCTCAGTTATTTTGTAAGAGAGGTTTCTGGCCTTGAATTTTGGGCAGATGCCCTCCAGCCCACTTGGGATCTAGCCAGAAGGCTGTCTGCTCAACAGCAGGCTGAATCCCAGGCCAGAGGAGAGGAACCAGATGTTGCTGAAGGGCCAGCTCCAGCCAGCGACTTCCACAATCCAGCCCAGCTTCTTGCTTCTGACCATCAATGGAGGCAAAGAGAACAACCACAGAGGGCTCTACCCCAGACTTCACACCAACTGGATATTTATTACAGTATGTTTTTCGGCATACAGTTGATTCTGGACCGAAGGCGCAACGCATCCCAGTCTCAGTTCGGAGTTGAGAAAGGCTGCCCTTGCGTGCCAGGTGTATCGGATTCCTGGGGCAAGGGCCCTGGGGGCCGCACAGTGGCGGAGGGGAGAAGCAGAGCTGGGGAGAGAGATCTCGGGCTCAGAGCCAACCATCTCAGGACCACCTGGCTGCTCACGTGTGGCCACCTCCTTACTGAAGGGACCTCTGGACCGGATCTCTGTGCAGAAAATGCAGGCCTAGCATGTCACTCACCATGCCTGGCACACACGGACTTCTCCAAGACCCCAGCGCTCACACACAACGTTGCCACCCCCGAAGTGCCCCTGCCAGCAGTTTCCGCAACCCGGGCGCCCCCCGGAAGGGGAGAGCAGCGCCCTCCGGCCGACCACAGAACCTCCTGCAACGCCGGCGGCAGGGCGCGCGCGGCTCCGGAGTCGCCCCTGCGCTTGCTCCCGGCCCAGGGGGATCCCCGGCGCCCCGAGGCTGCCCTCCGGTAAAGGGGGGGCCGGGGCCGCAGCCGCAGCCGCCCACTCCG